GTAGAGTTTTTCAACAACAAAAAAATAGAAGCTACATCTATAATTCAAACTAATTTGTTTTATTGACAGCGTGTGCGCTTTTGGGGTTCTTTGGGTAAGATAACATATAACATATAGACCCTCCACAAATTGGTCAATTATGTGGGGTCCCCTTTAAGGTTAGACTGGACTCCAAGGCGTGTTTCATTAGTTCGAGTGACAATAAATTAAGTTTCGACTTCATCGCCACTAATTAAAACGCGCTCTTGAGATATTAATCTGCTGGGAAGAAGCTTAGTCTGTGACTAGACTATTGTGGTTTTACACTCAAAGAAAATGTGAGAGATAAGTGAATGGTATACTAAATTGAACTATTAGCCTTACAAAATAATAAATAATTACAAGGAGAAATGTTTGAAATAAAACTCATTATAAATTGCACAAACATTTAGGCAATACGTTTTCACTTGAATTTCCAATTATTATATTATATATATATATTTATTATACTTTATATTATTTAAAGTATTAATAAAGCTACATAAGATATTAAAAAATAAATCAAATTATACAAACAATACATAAGATCAATAAATAATTTAAAGATATGTATGATATTATATTAAGCCTCTACACAAAGAATCTTTAAGCTTCAATATCTTACTTTAAGAAATGTATCTGTTTAACTTTCCTGAGATGAGGTTCTATACTTATTTCCCAAGATCTCCTTTTTCCATTTCTCAATAGGTTTCACATTTTTCTCCAAGTGTCTTATTATAGTTTGTTTTTTGTGGGACCACCCGCTTGGCATTGGAAAGATAGATCGATCGATCGCTGATCGGTAGCTTTGTCGCTCTCATCTTCAACTAATAACCACCAAAAGCTTGTGATTTTATTTTCATAAATGAATCATGATAATAAATTGTTTATGTTTCTTTCAGTTCGCCACGAATCTCGAGCTTCATGGGAAAAAGAGATTAGCATCAGCGTTTATGTTAATGCAATGTTGAGACATCATAAAAATGAAATATCTGCCGCTTTATTAGTTGCCAACCGCACACATTTTGGCAAGCTCTGAATCACTTGCAAATATCTTTTGAGATATATGTATATATTTTTATGGGGAGAGCTTGATTGAATTTTCTTATCAATGACAAACATCCTTTTAGGGGGTTATTTTCACTTATTTTTATTTATTTATTTGAGTGTTGTTCTTGGCAAAGTTGAAGGGCAACCTGAAGTTCAAGTTCGGTATTGCGAGCAGGTACAGGAAAAGGGCACTTTATAATGAATAAATTATAATGAAGGAGATTTACTTTTTAAGTGATTTTTTGCTTATATAGTAAATCATGTTAAGGTATAATATACCCAGTAAAATATAATGTTTAAGACTTTCTTTGTATTACCTTTTAAGACAAATTTCAATAATTATTTATAGGTATTATAAAACCTAACAATTAAAAGACCCTAAAAGTCTAGTAAATGTTATAAACAAACTTTGAACTATACTTATTTAATAAACTTGAAATATTTCTTTAAGAAAGAATTTTAGAGGGTATTTAATACTATTAATTGATCTTTAAAATTAAGCCTAAAATGAACGATCCATTTTGTTTTATAAAAACATAGGTATCTTTTATAAATTCCTTTCATTTATTCTCCGATTTAAAAGCCATATCTTTACCAAATATCATCTAACCAATGATCTTATTCAATGCAACATCAAAGAACCATTTAAACACAATCAGGATAGCAGTTAATTAAAATTCAAATGCACTTTTCCATATAAACTATTGATGATCATAAACTATTGCTGGTTGTGACAAGGATCACGTATACAAAAATAGATCTCTCCCGACTGAGCACACCGGTTCCATTACAAGGACTTTTTTTGGCGCCAAATAAAATGGTATTTGAGGACTATAAGAACTGCAAAGGACTGCAAGGACTTGAAGACAAAAATCAGTTCCTTTTGGTACGTGTCAGACAGGGCAGATGTGGACCTGGGGGGTGATCCTTCCTCCTTGCAAGACGCGGAGGGGTTGATAATGTCTGAAACTGCAGTTCCACCACCATTTACCACCAGCGGCATTACTCCGCCGGAGATTTGTCTGGTGAGATGCTGTGGATATATATTCCTTCTTTTTGGGGTGGGACACAAACTGCGCCAGGTAGATTTGCACGAACCTCCCTCCCTCTCCGGCACATTTGGCGCATTCCAAGGCACTACGGATCTCGACCAGGTAGGACTACCGCCAGGTAGGACTTCCACCCCAAAAAATGGGCATGTGCCCATGGTGGAGGAAGAGAGATCCTTTTGCCAGATGGCAATATCGAACAAAATTTCATGGTCGCCGGGGGTTTGTTTTCCTGCCCGAATGCACCTATTTAACGGGAGGAGGATGAGGATGGAGGAGGACCGGAACAATGGTCCAGGGGAAAAGGTTGATTTACCTTAGAGATTCGCCGTGTTGTTTGTCCCGGTGATTAATATTTTTGCGGACTGAATCTAAGTGGGAACTGCATTGTTGTGCTCAATTTAATGGCGGAGCCAATGTCACGTGCTCAGGTTTTGCCAGCTGCCCCGCAGGATAGGATCCTGTCGAAAGAGATCAATAGGAAAGCTTAGTGCTTGATCTTGCACAAAAGAAATCCTTATTGAAATCCGTTAAGAATTCCGAACGGGGGGTATTTTAGAATTAATAAAAGCTGACAAGCGGATCACTTGAGATAAGCAGTTGAAAAAATTAATATTTACAAATTCTTTATGGGGAAATAATAAATAACAATAAAGGAAAAATACTTAGAAAACCTATGTTTAGGTAACCTTAAAGTTTGCAATTGAATTATGGGACTAAATCAAAAATCGATCATAATTAAGCTTAAAATATTCGCATTCTTTGTATTGATATATATATTTTATATGACAATTTATTCGAACAATCAAATATTAAAAAACTCATAACTCAGCCAAAAAACCATTAATTTCAATTCGGTAAGCTTTCTTATACTAGTTTTTACTAGCTAAAAAAATCTGCATACTCAATTTATAATTTATAAAAATTAAAATTTTTGTCAATTTTTTTGGTTTACAATTTATTAAAAAATGGTCAAAAAAAATTGAAAAAAAAAATTCTAAAAATTATTTTCTGCCGGAGATGGCTAGATCGATTCGCTTTAAAATGCTGATCAATAATATATATGATTTATAGGGTCGGAAATGACTCCTTCACTGATTTACAAGCTTCTGACCATTCTTTTAGTCAACATTTATCTATATTTTTATATGACTATTTTTTAGTCAAATCAAATTTTAAAAAACTCATAACGTAGCCAAAAATTCATTAATTTTGATTCGGAAAACGTTCCTATGTTAGTTTTTACTAGGTTAATAAATCTGCATACTCTTTTTAATATTTATAAAAATTCAAAATTTTGACATTTTTTTGTTGTCAGTTTTGACAAAATAACCACTTACAAAATGTTGAAAAAATTAAAAACATATTTTTTCTGAAAGAGACGGCTTGATCGACTCGGCTGTTGATGCTGATCAATAATATATATGATTTATGGAGTCAGAAATGACTCCTTCAGTGGTTTTCAAGCTTCTGATTGAAATTATAATACCTTGCAAGGGTAGACAAATAATTACTCTTTCTTATTATAAAAATCCGGTTTTTTAATGAAATAAAATATAATTTAATAAATGTTATGAAAGTGTAAACCATATTTTTAATGCTTATAAATAAAAGAAATTGATTCTACATATTTAATCAATATTTAACCAAGGTAAACCTTGCAATTAAATAAAATTACAACTAGGAAACTTTAAATAAAATTAGGATCACTTAAATTTCTCATTAAAATATACCAACTTCCTTTCCGTTCTTAAGAGGATTATTTATATTCTTCAATATTAATTTTAGATTTTCATTAATTTTGAAATCTTATGGGGTCTTCTGACTTTACTCAAATATTGTGGAAGCCACAATATCATTGGTAGAATTCATTCAGTGGAAAATCCGATAATTTAAGCCAGGCTTAGTATCATTCAATTGATTAACCCGAATCAACGGAGTAATCAGCTTAGCCAAAATGATCTCCAAAAGATCAAATCCTCTTAAGAGCGATCTCTTAAATGATCTTGGGGTACGATTGGGAGCTGAAACAAGAGCGCCAAGAGCTTGGGGTTACTTCTCTCTCTCTCTCTCTCTCTCTCTCTTAACGAAGCTCCAAAGAGCACCTGCCGTGGAAGAGAGTCTAAGGTATATAGCAAGACACGATCGATGTGAGGCGGAACTCTAAAAGAGGTTTATAAATAAACTTGCTCTTGTCCCGGTGTGTGCGTGTGTATGTGTGTATATAATAAGCTCGATCGCCACCAGCTGCCGCTCACTCACACCATTAAAAATCAGGGGAAATACGAGCTGGCACAGAGAGGCAGCTGGTGGCGATCGCTCAGAGAGAGAGAGAGAGGGAGCAAAGAGAGTGCCTTTTGTGGCACGTGCTTGCTTTTTTCCACACAGATTTGTTGGCGGTGCCAAATGTTACCTCCTGCTCCCTCACACATATTCCAGTATTAGTTCATCCCTCTCGCACCGGCAGCATCGGCAGCTGGATCAGCGTTCAATGAACGCACAGCTGTGGGATCTTGGCTCGTGGTGATTCTCGGGGTTGATTCACAGAATCACAGAATCCCCCGTGTCACATTCGGAAGTAGGTAGAGCCGTCAAGATCCTCTTTTGCCCAAAAAAGGGGGTTGATCGGAGTCCTGCGATCCTGCGATCCTTCCAAAGGGGGTTGAATAGGGAGTCTATAAAACCGAAGTGATCCTCGCCGGGTTGCATCATTCGAGCAAGGAACCCCAGACGATCGAGACGCGTAGAGTCAAATGAGTGATCAGTGATTCGCAGTGAACAGTGATTATCGGTATCAAATATCAGAGCAAGAGATCGGTGAATCATTACCCAGTGATCAGTGATCAGTGATCAGTTTTACTTGGAATTGCACACACAGGAATCATGGATAAACTCAAGTACAGCCGCTGTCCGCTCAAAAAGCGTCCGATAATGGTGGAGGAGTCCTATCAAGAGGATCACTTAAGTCACGGTAGGTTTTCTCATAGTGATTATAGTGATATGATAATGATTTCAAAGGATAAACGATTAAAGATCGATATATCGGTGTTTTTCTTATGGATACCTCTTTTTCAATTCAGCAGTTCTTAAATTAGGAGAAAATTTCTACTTGAATTATTATTGAAAATATATAAGATTTAATATAAACCAACAATTATTCTATACAGCTCCTCGATAATTATCGATTTTTAATATAATTTCCTTATAATATTTCCTTTGCTAAACTTTAAAATCCTTTTCTTTCCAGACGAAGGACCCGTGGACTTGAGTGTAGCCTCGGCAGCTGTTCCCCTTGAACCTCATTGGTCCTCGAAAGAGGAACCGGAACCACAGGCTGTGCCCACGGAACTAAGGCGTCGCTTTGATGCAGCCATGAATCAGACCAAGGAGCAGCTGGCACGCCGCATCTGGGAGGAGACCCGGGAGATAGCACGTGCCTTCCCCGATGTCTTTACCCGCGAAGAAATAGCCAAGAGTTTGGCACGCTTGGGTTATGGGGAATTTGAGCTGCCCCCGGAGGAGGAGGTCATGGAACCCGAAACAGAGACAGAACCCCAAACCGAAACAGAGCAGCAAATTCCCCTAAGCTATGCCAGAGAGTCACCTTCAACCATAATCAAAGTGGAACCCACCGAGCAGGACTTTCCCCTCCGGAACTACAATAATAATTTGCTGAAAAGCATAGCAGAGTATGAGGATTGCATGAAGATGCAACCAATTAAGGAGGAAATGGTTCCTGTACCCCAACCACCAATGTACTATCCCCCACCCACACCTCTCACCGAACCCGAGGATCTTTCGGTGACCCAAAGGCGAGTGCTCAGCGAGAATATGAATCTGCAGAATGTGGCAAGAGCTCTGCTTAGCATGCAGCACATGGCACCGCAGCAACAGCAGCAACATCCTGTGCATCCTCTGCCGCCACAGGACATGGAAGAGGATCAGGAGAACCAAGAACACAATCCCCTAAAGATCAAGAGCAGCAACGATCTGTACTATCAGTGTCAGCAGTGCAACAAGTGTTACTCCACCTATGCCGGTCTAGTGAAGCATCAACAGACCCATGCCTACGAAAGCACCGAGTACAAGATCATCCGAAGTCAACCAGGTGGCTCTGGACCCATTGTGGATCAAACAGAATTCTGCACGGATCAGGCTTCGGCTTTAATTCAGGCAGCAAATGCTGCCTCAGCTCAAAGTATGCAAAAGCCGGTGGGTGTACCGAGATACCATTGCCAGGATTGTGGCAAGAGTTACTCCACCTACTCTGGCCTGTCCAAGCATCAGCAGTTCCACTGCCCCTCGGCGGAGGGTAACCAGGTGAAGAAGGTTTTCAGTTGCAAGAATTGCGACAAGACCTATGTCTCTTTGGGTGCCTTGAAGATGCACATTCGCACCCACACGTTGCCCTGCAAGTGCCCCATTTGTGGCAAGGCCTTCTCGCGACCCTGGCTGCTGCAGGGACACATTCGAACCCACACGGGTGAGAAGCCCTTCAGTTGCCAGCACTGCAATAGGGCCTTTGCAGATCGTTCTAATCTCCGGGCTCATATGCAAACCCACTCGGATGTGAAGAAGTATTCCTGCCCCACCTGCACCAAGTCCTTCTCTCGAATGTCCCTGCTGGCCAAGCATTTGCAGAGTGGCTGCCACAGTGAACAGGGTCCATCGGGTGGCACCTCTGGAGGTGGCTTCGATCAGCAGCAGCTACAGCAGCATCTTCAGGGTTACGAGGAGGGTCATAATCCTCATCAGGTTTACTATGCCGGCAGCGTGGGTAGCAGCAATGGTGAGGAGGAGGAGACCGGTGATTACCCCATGCCACCACCACAAGCTATATATTAACTAATATTTATTACATACAAACACACAAAACCAGCTCAAGTTTTAGCCAAAGTTATACCAAGTCAGAATCAGGGAAAAAGTCAGTGCCAAAAATTAGTCAGCGCAATTATATTGCCACTTAGGGTCTCTAGTTTATCACAATAAAACATATATTTATTTAGCATTATTATTCCCTTAATTAATTCCCCTTAAATATTTAACCAATCACTATAAAAGTTAGTAGCTTTAGGTTTAGTTTCCCATTGTTGCAGATTGTTTTCGTTGACAATTCCTTGTATTATAAATTGTTGTTAATAATTATTCGTGTACAAATCGAAATGGTGCCACAGAATAAAACCATATAACTAATATAACGAACTTTATAATTTACATTTATAATTTATTTTAATTTAATAATTATGATTTAAGCTATGTAAATATGGTGAAGGTAGCCAGTAATTTGCATACACTTATTTATATTATTTTTTTATAAATAAAAAAGAAGAAAAAAACGAAACTATAAAAAGGATTTTAATTTATTATGAAATAAAGTTAACACTCTCACTTCTCTGACGCTCTAAATTTATATTCAACTTTATCGAATCGCATCTCTCGGATGCACCTTTCGAATTGAACTGCAATCTCAAAGATGCAATCTCTGCAAATCTTCGTAGGTGTCATTGCACCATGGAAAACTCCACAAAATCGAGACATTCAACCATCAATGGTTACCAATGAGGGGGGTTAAAGAAATAAGGAAAACCATAATATATATATATATAAAGCCGTTTATATGTATAAAAATCTATTGAAAATCGCTGCTTAAATCAAAATTAATTGCCAGAATAATAATTGTTTTGAACGTAAAGCGCCGAAATGCAAACGGCAAAAAAAAAAAACCGGAGGAGAATTGGCGCAGCTGCAACTGCAACTGCAACTGCGACTGCGTCACCGGCAAAAGCAGCAACAACAACAGCAACACAGCAACTAGCAACATCAACAACAGCAGCAGGCGGCAAGCGCCAACAACAGCAATACACTCGAAGAAAAAATGTAGAGATAAAAAAGAATTTTCAAAGAAAAAATAAATACTAATTAGAGATTTATATGAAAACTCTTGCAGTAGCAGGAAACTTTATATAAAATATTTTATAAAAGAATATGCAAAAACTACTAACTATATTATAAAAAAGTAGAAAAGCAAGAGTCCGAAGTTTGTATACCCTTGCAGTCTGCAATTAAATTATAGAATAGAAAAAAAAATTCATTTTCTTTCAATAGATATTTAGCGATATTTTTATATGAAAATTTTTGGACAGTTCAAAATTTTTAAAACTTGTAATTCAGTCAAAAAAGAATTATTTTTAATTCGGAAAGCTTTCCAATGTTAGTTTTTTGTGGGTTAATAAATCTGCATACTGTATTTAAAATTTTTAAAAATTAAAATTTTGGTTATTTTTTCATTATAATGATAAACCCCTTAAAAAATTTGAGAAAAGTTTTAAAAAATTATTTTTCTGCCTAAGATGTCTAGATTGAAAGGGTTGTTGATGCTGAATAGAAGAAGAAGAATATATATATGATATATAGGGTCGGAAATTATTCCTTTACTTAATTTCAAGCTTTTAAATAAAATATAATACCCTGCAAGGGTATAAATATTGTAAAAAATACTGCAAAATAGTTATAAAAACTCCTTAAGGTTGTAATAATTTCTGATTTCCTAACTCAATGGAGACTGTAATTCCATTATTATAGATTATAATTCTATTAACAATTAATAGTTTGTAATTTATTTTCAAACTATTTTACTATTTCAACTATTTTCTAGCAATTTTATTTGTTAACTATTAACTCACCCCCAAATTTCTTTGAGTGCCCGCCAAACGTCTAGTATTTTTGTGGGTCTGCTGCAGTTGGCGAAATCCACTCAAAACAACAAACCATACGATGAATCATCGATTTTTTTTCAACAAAATCCAAAAAACAAAAATCACCAAAAAAAAAAAATATAAATTAAAGCCGGCTTGTGGTGCAGCCGCACGCAGCTAGATGGCGCTAGTGGGCAGCCCCCAGCAGGCTTTTTTTCCAGGCCGAGTTCAATTAAACGCGTTTCTTCCAGTTTTGCGACTGAGTTGCCGCGACTTTTTTCCGCTTTTCCGCACTGCAGCACCCAGCCGCACCTTACTTTATATATGTATATATATATCCTAAAAGCCAACTGGAGCTAAAGGCCCCACCCACCCTTCATCTCCATCGAGAGCCAAGTCAACTCACTCGCATTATTATAAATGCCGTCCACGCAGTTTCTAACGCTCTACAACTTCCAGTTTTACTTTTTGTTCATAGAGCATAGTATACTCTATGAAGAATGAGAGGTTTAATGGATAGTTTAAGGAGGTTTGATAAGAATAAAGAATTTATAATTAGAAATATAATAAAATGTATTAGAAAATTCTATAGCTATTCTATTCGATATGTCAGTATTTCGAAATTTTTTGACATTTTATTACAAGAATTTTATAAAGAAATCCCTTGATATGATATATACTTGTAATAAGCTTTCATTTGCAATAGGACAAATATTTTCTTTTTATGAAACACTCTTAAAATTATATATGTACTTATCATGAATTGCAACTCTTCTGAATTTGTTTTTCCTATTTCGTATTCGAAAACTATATTTTAAAAGATTTTTAACTTAAACCTTTTAATTTCTGACTGCTGGTTAGATTAAGAATTAAAAAAAAAAAATTTCAAATTTTTAAATTAATTAAGAATTTTTTAAAATATTTTATTACAATATTTTTGTAAAGAAATCAATTATGAATATTTTTTCTGGTTATGAGCTTCAATTTGCTATAAGAAAATTATTTTATATTTATAAAACACTCATTATTCTTAAAGTTGTGTATATATTTATCATAAATTTAAACTCTTTTGAATTTGCTTTTCCTATTTTCTATTCGGAAACTATATTTGAAAAACGTTTTTATCCAAACCTTTTAATTCCTGACTGCTGGTTAGTATTTAGAAGTTAATTTAAACATTTAATTGCAAGAATTTTATAAAGAAATCCATTAACCTAATATATTTGGTGATATTTTACTGTTTGCTCTAAGAAAAATATTTTCTATTTATGAAACACATATGTTTCTCAAAGTTTTAAATATATTATTCATCAATTTGAAGTCTTTTGGATTTTTCCCCTATTTTCTATTTAGAAACCATATTCTGAACATCTCTTTAAATTTAAGATTTCATTAGGAATTTAAATTCTATTAAACTCCATACAAATTATAAAGATTAATAATGATATATAAAATGATATACAAGACTAGCAATAATTGTTATAATATTTACTTTAGGGTATCTTCCTATTCGTTTTCCCTGCTATTTGCTTCCGCTCTCGACCTGGCCAAGCGGTAGCTTTTTTTGGTCTATTAGGAAACCGTGGCTTGGAGCCGTAGAGACTTGCCACTTGAAAGTCATATTGCATTTGCCAGACAGCACTCGCCCAAGAACCGGGGGGACAGTGCCCCCTTCCTCAGGTGTCTCGTTCTTTGACTTTGATTTCGGGTGCGCGTGCTGCCGTTTTTGGGAGGTTTTTTTTATTGTATTTTTTGGTTAAAGTTTCCAGGTGCCACGCCCCGTCATAGTGGAACGCATGCCAGGTAGCGGCATTTGGTCAAAGGTTAAATTAGACAAGGCAGGGGGAAACCTGGGTGACAAGTGCCAGGCAATCGTTTAGAGCGCTAATTTATGGTCCAACGAAATACCAAAGAAAAATGGAAAAATCAAAGACAGAAAAACAACAACAAACGAAGCGGAAAATGTGCTCGAGTTTCCTTTATAGCGGCTACGTGCAGAGTTGGCTTAATTGGCAGTCGGTTGGAGGCCAAGAGACTTTTGTTTGGCCAAAAAAAAGCACGCCCTGTTCTTTTTCTAATTTTTTTTCGGGGGCCTGCCGTGGCAGTTTAATTAATCTCCGATCGTTCAGAATGCATTTTAAATGCATTTTTTCCCCCACCCCCACCTATCAAAATTGATTTTTTGAAAATATTAACCAAGTTTTATTATTATTTAAATTTTTTAAAGGTATTCAAGACACGTTTCTCGCCGCTCGTTGGCCATTAATATTTAATAATTTTAAATCGGCACATGAAACAAATTATGGAAACAGCTGTACAGCGCCATTGGTTGTTTTGTTGTTATTTTTCTGTTATTATTTTTTAAGCCTTTGTTGCTTTTATGGCCACTAAGCTTTGTACGTGTTGTTTGCTTAACGCGCCGAGTGTAAATTAATATTTAATTATGATCATTCCCAAGACCGGAGTTGTGGCGCTGATCGTGTGTTGAGTAAACGCCATTTTCTGTATTAAGATCTAATCATTTGTGTTTTTTTTCTTGTTTCTTGTTATTTAAAAGCTGGCAACAAAGCGTTTAAGCCAAGTCAATGGAGCATGCCAATCGATTTTGGCTTTTACTTAGATTAGCCAGGTTAGGCAACGTATAAGGTATTTTGGTATTAAAAAGGGGGAGAATTGATGGAGAATTAAATGGTTTTATTAAATGTATATGTTTTGAGGAGGAAATCAATATAGAGGAAAATATAAATTAAAGATTTTACAAGCTAAAATCTACTTAAATTCTTGTTAAGGCTTCTTAAAGTTCTTTCTTATCAATTATCTCATTTTAAACTTCAATTTAAATACCTTTACCTGAAACTTAAATCCCTCATTAAATTTAATTTAAGCTTATTTTCTTAGCTATTTATTTTCCTGATTTTTTTGCTTCTTTCCCAAAGTCATGCTCTAATAAATTAAGCTCTTCCTGAGACCCAGTTCTAGCCTTGTTCCATCGGCGGAGGAGTGAACTGACAGCCATGATTAGCCACGAGCAAGACACAATCCTCTGCTGACCATAACTCATGACACACACTCAGAACACTCACAACACACTCGCAATACACTCACAAACACTTCAGTGGAAACTGACCAAAAATAAGTTAGCGGCCAAGT